TATATATATATATATATATATATCTCAAAGACACGCACACGCGCACCGTGCCTGGTGCACAGTGTCAGGTGCACAAGAATGTCTTGAGGCACAAGTATCTGACGATCGTCACGTGCCCCAGCTTGCTTAGACTTGTACCCATTTTGAAGATATAAATCAAAGAAATTTTTTAGCATTTCAGTCAAATTTCGATAATCAATCACTTGCTTCTAACTGCTTTTTAATGCAAAGTCTGCACGATCGATTGAAATGCCAAAACTAAGTCCTGCCCAGTGTAAATAAAAGAGAGTTGATGAACAAAACAAAATTAAATTAAATGAATCAAATAAAGTGAAGCAAATATATGAATTTGAGCCTTGAAATTCCAAATCAAACTTCAATTTCTCTCTTTGATATGGCTAGGTTGAGTCTTCTCAATATATCACTAGCGCCCACTCTTTTTTAGTGTCGAGATTTCCTTCAATGGAAACTTGTTGTCCTCCATCCAAAGTAGAAGACGTTTGGTGGTTTTATTTTTATAAAGCCGCCCACTTTTGCATATTTCATTCCATAAATTCAATTTTTCACAAAAATTTCTATAATTTTTTACAAATTTCCTAAATTTCATAAATTGTTACAGATTTCCACAATTTTCATAAATTCAAATATCAAATTCTAAGGATAGGAGTACGATCACCTTAAACAAAGTAAGGTTTATGGTTCCTCAACTGGTATCAAGCTGGATGTGAGTCCAAGTGCTTTCCTCCCTGATCTAGTCACTATATTTCTCTTAGGCAAGATATTAGTCCCCTGACAGTTCATATCTCTAAGAAAGTAGGTATATAAATCTTCTGATGTTTGGAGTAAATTCCCCTTTAATGGTATGTGGCATCCTTTCCTCGACTTGTATCAGGTTGGATATGAGTTCCAATACTTTCCTCCCTAATCTAGTCACTTTATTTCCCTTTGATGGGATGTAAAACCCACTTAAATAAATGTAAAACCCCCTTAGGTTAAACAAAGACGATGAACCATGAGACCTTGATCATATGTGTCACTTCCCCCACTGTCCTCTCTAAGTTAATTGTGATAATTGAATCAGTTTAAAGTTTAATCATTGCTACTATATGTTGAGTTTGAACACTTGGGGTTTTAACAACTATAGCCTTAATCAAAATTGCTCAAATGTTATCGCCAAAAGTAATTAATTATAGAGGCTTGAGTGTATAGAAAGCCTTAAATCATATCAAAATGTCATTGCAAAATGAGGGTGAATCTCGGGTAGTGCCTTATCAAAAATTGAATCTATCTTATGAAAATTTTACAATGTGAGAGTCGGAAGAGAGGATGCGAATTTTTGGAGCCCATAATAAACAAGAAGGGTCTCCTATTAGTTCAGACTATCTAACATGCATAGTTAAAATAGTATCCAAGAGTCCTTTGCATTGAAATCGTTGCCACAAATTGGTTAAATACTGAATGCCCAAAATTGAATCATGAATTTTCATAAAAGAAAATAGCCAATACATTTATGTATCAGGAAGAAGTCCAAGGAGCTAATTGATCAAAAATATATTGCATTCTACTAAGGGAATAGAGGTCAAAAACATAATACATACAGATGGTGGGATGAAATGTTAACCCATTGGGTGCAATCATCACAAAGTAACAAGAGTTAAACAACATGCACAATTGAAGATTTGAGAACTTAGTTATTGAGATAATTGTACAGTAACACCAATAAGTTTTTAAAGCAAACAGCTTTCAAACAAGCATGCACATATGCCTAAAACAAAGAAGACATGTAGAGTCCAACATATACTGGATAAGAACATAAGTCCAACATAACATTAACCCATGCCAGCCGAAATGTTACTGGAATTAAAAAGAAAACAAGGCAGACCACAGATTGGCAATTTGATATTATCAAATTTAGAGTTATTTTTTGTCTTCTAGTTGGAAAGCTAAGGCCAATGTCACTTTTTTTTTTTTTAATTCATGGGGTTTTATTAAGATGTATAGATGCTTAATTAGTAAAAATTTTGTAAGAGGATTGATTATAATAATTTACATTATAATTTATAAAAACCAAACTTTCATCCCCATTAATTTTTATATTCAGAATTCTATAGCAATTATTAAGAAAGTGATTCTTCATTAAAAAAAAAATACATATCTACAATAAGAAAAGCTTCAAAATCCCAGTTGGCCAAAACCCACGATCACATGGCATCTGACGGCTAGTGCTCATGTATTGTGTATTATGACACGGTAAACATGAAAAGCAACTCAAAAGCATGTAATGTAAGCATCAGCTTTAGTGGGATATACATATTCAATCATTCAAGTTTGTATGTATGTCATGCATGCATGTATTTATATGTATGTCAAGTCTAACAGACATGAAGCATGAGCACTTAAAAAGGTCCTCCATGATTGTTTCATACACGAGCACACCTCTCACATACCCCAATTGCAATTAATATCATCTATGATATTGTTTTTGTCAAAATTGAAGTGGACGGGACTGAAATATTTGTTAACAAGAATGGGGACAATAGCAAGCTATTCTAAGTTCAAAATTTTCAGTTCATATCACTTGGTTGACAGATATCCCGGTGTTTATTTTGTTGAGTACAATTAATCATACATTAATTTGTTCATATGTTGCGTGATTAATTTGAGGAATAATGTATACTTATTTGTTTTTGTGGCAACATAGTGTAGATGGGATAATGTTGGCATTGAAAAAATTATACCTAGCAATTAATGCAAATGCCGGTTTTTTGTTAAGAACTAAACCAAGTTTAGTTTATATTTTGTTAAACGTTAGGCTTTCCAAGTAATAAATATTAAACTTATTTATGTGAAGACTTTTGATAGAAATATTGACAGTAAACATTTTGATTTCACATTTTATATTAGTAATATATATATATATATATATATATAACATTTTGTAGTTATGTTGGTTCCCATAATAGCGCCATCCATGTGTCTCGTGTGAGTAACCATGGCTTGTGCTTATGTCCATGTCCCACATTTTCTTATGACTATTGTATCACATACCCATTGGCTTGTGCTTATGTTCCCATTTTTATGTCGGTTCACCATAACAATTAAGATAAGCTGAAAATCATCTTAAATAATACATATTCATATGTATTTATAAATACCTCTCTTAGGATCTCAGATGGAAAACCTGTGGACTCAAATGTGATGTATGGGTTAGGAACATTTGTTCCCTGCAAAATGTTTAAATGGAAAGATAGCATTACTACAAGAAATATATATATGCTAAAATACATTATGAAAAATAAATAAGCAAAGAGAGAAAAAAATACGAAAACTGCTTGATAAAAGTGCAAGAGTGCTCTAAACAAAAGAAGCCAAACATCAAGCAAAAAAGAGAATATGATGCAAATGATAGAAACATCAACTGACACCTTGAAAATAAATAACACTCAATATGTTGCATTCCCATAAAATATGAAAGAATCAGAAACCTTAACTCCAATTTCTCAGTAAATTAGCTAGAGCACCAGAAATGTAAGATTATATCACTAAAATGTTATGCATCTCATAAAGAAAGAAAATTGCCCTTGTGGTTATTTTAAAATGAAGCTTCAACACAGCTCCCCCACATAGTTCAAATTATGCATTGTGAGATAATTTAAGAAAACTATAATATCAACCTATCATGGGATGAAAAGCCATTAAAAGCATTATAAGACATAAATATAGATTCATTTCAGAGAAATACATTTTCGGTAAAAGTTACTGTCTTATTACCAAACAGTAGTTAAGAAACACTACACATGTTAAGAAATTAAGAAACCCACATTTATAGGTCAAAAGCAGCACAAATAGTGAGAACATGCAACAAATTCCTCTCATAAAAATACTTTATTCCAGGAAGATGCTTTGAAACTCGATGAATATCATCTCTCCCGTTAATGGCTGAGGTTTACATATTGAAGTTGCAATGCCATGCAGTTTCAATGTCATTGATTTGCTTTTGCTAATTGAAAAGATGAAAATGCAATAATGCCATAAATTGCATCTTGCCCTTATACAGCTCAGTTTACGTAGAATTTGAATTATAACTGAAAGTACATGTCAAGTTTTTGAATATCAGCTAATTATGTGTTTGGTTGTTAAATATAAAAAACATTGATAAGACATATGTGAAATAGAGTTAAAGCCTCATATAATGCTCAAATGAGTAGAGGAGGATTCATGAAGGTGACCATAAATAATGGACATAAGGCTAATGATGAGGACAATGACGAAAATGTTTTGAGCAGAAAACTAAAACAATGAGTTGCTCAATCCCTAAATACAACAAATGAAAAATAGTTCAATGCTAGACTCGAACATTCATGAAATCTCCCATGCAAAAAATTTGCCAATCTATAAATAGAACAACCAGTGTTTCAACAATATCACCATGTTAGAACCATCCTCTAAATATCCATACAACAACAACAACAAAGCCTACATGAATCCTTTTTCTCCATTGCGTCCTATTTTGTGTCATATTTTCATTTAGTTCTAATAAATAAGATCATTTTTTATACAATAAAGCCAAGTCTTCCTAGGTCTACCTCTGCCTTTCTTAACAAATATCCATGTCTCTTGAAATTTTATTTTTTAAAGAAAGTCTTTCTTTTAGATAAAAATTGTCAAATAAATCACTGAAGACAATCTTGGAGACTATCAAACCAATGCTCAAACAAAAACGATACATCTTGGAAATCTATTTTTTTTAAGGTTGAGGCTATAAAAACAAGATTGATGAAAACTCAACAACCATTAATTCCATGAACAAGCAAGTGAATCAGAACTCGTACAACCAACTATAAGAATAAAGGACAAGCTATCAAGCACACGAAATAATTTCCAGACATGCGAGAAGTCAACTGTGTGGTCAAAAAAATTCTACAATGTTTCAGAAAAGACACGAAAGCAAACAAATAAACCACGAATAAAGGAGATGGGGTGCATTTCACTTTGACATACAATGACAGTAATTTCATGACGCCGTCGATAAGCCTCCACAGATAAGCCAACTCCCGAATCCTGGTTAGTTTGGGAGTTCCGCATGTACGATTCCTCGCCATCAACTATCTCTGGTCCGGACACATGATTTTGGGAGCATTCCAGGCTCCCTGCATTACCCTATAACACAGCCAACGTGCATTATAACATATGACAGCATTTGGAAACAATAAAATAGGACAAAGAGTATACTTTCTGAGGCTGATCAAACTCGCAAATTTCAGGTTCAACAGTAGCAGGAGAAGGCGAATCTTCCCGCTGCGGAATAGGAGGAGGAGAAGAGGAAAGCGGTTTCTCGTATTGCGTCACATTGGTCTCCGGGTTCCAAAAGTAAAGGTAACCAGTCTTGGAATCGATAAGGCCTCGCCAAGGTTTCGCGAGCGTGGGATCCGCCGGCGCGTAGCTGATGCGGCCTTTTGAAGACGACAAGGAAGTGTCCGTCGTCGCCGATGCCAACATGACTTGCCTTAAGGTGGCGAACAGCGAAGTTGAGGTCGATAAAATGCCACGGAAAAGTGTGAAACCCTAGCAGGGCTCCGACTACGAGAGATGGAAATGGGGAAGACGATGCGGCTGCAAAGCGGAAGTGAGCTCTACTGGGCCAAAAAAATGCGAATTTTGAGTGGAAAGAAAAAGGTGCGCGACGCATTTACATATCAAACACCATTTTTTTTTATTTATGCCACGCAAATATTTTATATTAAATAAAAAAAATTTAAGTTTAAAAATTAAAATAAATATTTTGATTCATAAACAAAATGACATTGATATAAAAATTTAAATTTAGGTGTTAGAAAATCAAGAATATAGGAATTAAGTGATATATGTGAATCTTCATTATTATTATTATTATTTTTTCACATATGAACTTTATCCCACTTTGTGGGATAAAAGCTTGTTGTTGTTTTTATTGGATGGTGTCTAATATGGGTCTAATCATACTTTTTTTCTAGAGAAAAATAAAAAAATTATATTAATAAATTTAGTTTCTCACAAAAATATTTTAGCTAACTTTATTATAAAATAGTCTGAATGAAAATTTTGACTTTTAATCTACATAATATGTTATTTTAGATTAATATCCTATTGTAACTTTATTTGTTCAAATGAAGTTGAAACTAATTTTTTGACTAAAAATTAATTGTATTGAAATACGAGTGCTAATTTTTATATATCTTATCAACGTTGAAGAAATTCAACACAAACATCACATTCCAAGCTTCGCACCCAACAATGTAACTTAAAAAGTTATACTCCTCCAATGGTTAATATTATGGTACGTTTAGGGCGGCGATGTGATGACAATGTGGTGCTATATCGCAGTTTTTTCTCTGACAAAACTATGCTTATATGTCTTTTCAAAAAATTGCAGTTGAAAGCTGTGTTTTGCAACCAGACCTGACTAAATGCAGTGACTGCTAGAAAGCTGAGATCTAACTTTTGAAAAAAATTATTTATAATTATCACTGAAATATTTTGAATATCAGTTTTTTCTGCAATTGCTTCTTCAGACAATTGCAACTGTCCCAAATAAACCCTTAACCACATATGCGGTCAAAGCTCGTGACTTAATATCAAATTTTAGAGAATTTAGCTACGTACTTTTATTGATAGGAAGAGGTATACATACATTTTACAAGGTTTAAATAAAAGAAAATACATGAAATCTAAAATAGTCTAATTAGAAAAAACATAAATGTGGAAACTGAAATAAAGGAAGTAAATAAAATCAAATAACAGCCAGTAATAATTGCAACAGTAATTAGCCTAATAATTAGACTAATAATTCTAAATTTCTTTCTCAAGTTGAGGCATAGATGTTTATCGTGTTCAATTTGGATTTAAAGTAATCAAACAATGCCTCGGAAAAATTCCTAATAAGAATATCTACTAATCGACAATCAAATGTGACAAATGGAATACAAATCTTCCCTGAATCGAACTTCTCATTAATAAAGTGTTTGTCAATCTCCACATGCTTGGTCTGATTATGCTGGATTGGCTTATGACAATACTAATGTATGTTTTATTTCCGCATAATAGATAAAGAAGAGTAGAGAATGACATACTAAATTCACAAAGCATGATACACAGTCAAAAAGCTTCGCAAATAACCAAGGACATGGAGTGAAACTCGGCTTCAGCACTACTTCTAACAACCGATTCATTTTTACTTTTTCACGTGATCGGGTGTTTCCACACGAATGAGCAATATCTTAAGGTGGATCGTCGATCATGGACAAACCCAACTGAATCTGCATTTTTACAAACAACAATAGAATAAAAGGTGTGGCACGAGAAAATAAACCTGAGAGTAGTGTGCCTTTTAAATAACAGAGGATCATGTGGACAGCTCGGAGATGGTGCTCATAGAAATCATGCATAAATCTACTCGGAACATATATTGCATGGCAAATACCGGCGTGAGTATGGGCAAGGTAAATGTGTTTCCCACAAGCCGTTGGTAGTAAGTATTGTTCATTAGAATCACATTAAGAACATCAATTAATTTCTCATTGGGTTTCATTTGGATTGCCACCAGTTTGCAAAGGAGAAGGTTATTCTTTGTCAATAGATCAAACACATTGCGTTGAGACGAGCAAATGCCTCAGATGACAGAGCAACTTCCATGCCTAAAAAGTACTAGAGTGAGCTCAAGCCCATCATTTCAAATGAAGTAGCAACAATTCATTTTAGAGATATCAATGCGGGTAGATCATCACTTGCGAGCACAATATCGTCAACATAATTGATAAGAATAACAATTTTGCCACTGAAGGAATGCAGAAAAAAGTGAGTATGATCTGATTGAGCCTTTGAAAAATAATAACTCAATTACCTCCTTATTGAACTTGCAGAACCAGACCCATGGGATTGTTTCAGTCCATAGAGGGACTATCAAAATCGACACACTTATCATTGGGGAATAGTAGAGTCAAAGCTTAAAGGGAGGCATATGTACACCTCATCGGTGAGATCCCTATTTAGGAAAGCATTTTTAACATCAAGTTAGAGCAAAAGCCAGTCCAAATTTACAACAAGGGAAAGTAGGACCCGAATGATGTTTGATTTAACAACCAAAGAAAACTCATAATTAACGTTGTATATTTGTGAGTAGCCTTTGTTGACAAACCATGTGTTATTTAATTAAAAGGATCCATAAAATTGAAACTTAGTGCTAAATTTCCAGTGACATCAAACTGCTTTCTTACCTAGAGGAACGTCCACAACATGTCATATATGATTCCGCTGAAGGGCATTCATTTCATCAATTACTACAGCTTTCCAAGAAAGGATCAATTAATGTTGCTTCAATAGTGGATGAGAGATGATGATCCATCAGTTTAGCAACAAATGCTTTATAGGTCGATGATACACTGAGGAATAAACTATATTTTTTCATCAAATAAAGAGAGCCTACTTGATTACATACTTTAACAGAAGAACTCGCCTCCTCATTTAGATTATCGTCAATTTTGGGGATGTCATTCCGAGCAGATTCCAGGCCTTGTAAAGAGATAACAAGCTCCAGAGTGGGACCATAAGTGTGCCGAGTATAGATAGGAGAATGGGAGGAGGCTATGGTTGTTTGGTAGATGGTGGGTCCAGAAGGACAAATAACTCTTCAAATATAGTGGTTGGAGAAATATTTATAGGGTTCAGATAAGAAATAGAGTTTAAGAAATCATGTTCCCTTTCACCTGAGGCAGAGACATGGAAGTAGGGAATATTATCAAAGAAAGATAAACATGCACTTACATAGCGTTTATTTGTGGTAGGATTAAGACACCGATAACATTTTGAGTGGCAGAATATCTGAAAATGACACATTTTATAGACCTGAGATCAAGCTTACTATGATTAGGGGTAGTGTTCCGAACAAAGGCCGTACATTAAAAAATTGTGGGTTCAAGAGCGGGCAAGAACCGATTGATAGGGAAACATGACATCAAGATAGCTAATGGAGTTATAAAGTTATGAACTTTTATGGGAAATCTATTGATGAGATAGATGACAGTAAACATGACATCATTTCAAAACTTTTTCGGGACATTACATTAAAACACAATGGTGCGAACTACTTCAAGAAGTTTTTGGTTTTTTTTTTCTCTCAGCCACTTCATTTTGTTGATGAATTTTTGTACGCAAGCTATGGTGGAGGATACCATTCCTTACCAAGAACTCACCTAAAATATAATTAAATAATTCAAGGTCATTGTTGATTTGAATAACTTGAATAGAAGTTTTGAATTGGGTCAAAATGAATAAGTGAAAGTTTATAAAGGTGACAACAACTTCATATTTATCTTTTAGGATATAGAACCACATCATTTGAGTGTAGTCATCAATTAAGGTAAGGAATCACTTTTTATTAGTGTAGCTGGGAGTGCGAGAGGGTCCCCACAAGTCTCTGTGAATAAGAGAAAATAGAGCGGAAGGCAGTTAACGATGAAATACATAAGGAACATGATGTTTAACTAATTGACAAATCTTATATATGTTGGTGGTAGGGGTTGCTATGAATTTTTTGTGAATGTACGAATGCTGGATTTTGGAAATTTAAAATTGGGGCTAGAAATTGTGATGTGAATGTTCAGGGTATGGAGATTTTTTTTTTATTAAGGAAGAAAATTCTTTAAAATTTTAGAGTTTGCCGAACTTTGATACCATATGTTACAATTTTAGGTCTCTTAGAAGGTGTTTTAAAAAACAAATTTAGTGGGGAGGTGGTTGTGAAATGGTACGTAAGAATCATAGAGGTGACATTTCGAAGGGTGTATGAGACGAAATCTATTGTTGAACAATATATTTGAAGAGTTTGACGACTATCCAAACTAAAAACAATAGTCAAACGTCAAAACAACGACGTGCGGATAGTAATGAAGATGCACCACTTATTACAGGGCAAGATATATACACATAACTGGTAAAAGAAGGAAGTCATAACACTCCTTAGAGCATAAAATGGAGAGTAACTTCTCTAAAGACAATAATAATACCCAAAGTATGCTAAACCAAATTTCACATTCAATATTTCTACAAATAATTAAATTAATCCTAATTAGAAAAAAAGGCAAGGAAATAAAGACCCAATAAACTTGTGACGATAAAAATAGGCAAAAAAAATCTCCCCAACAACTATTATTGGGAATATGGCTTGAGTGATTCGAGCAATCATGGAAATCGGCAATCATTTTGCACCCAAACACGATTTCACTTTCTCTTCTGACGTTTGTTGCCTTGGCTACACTCGAATGTCACGCCAGTCTCAACGTCCCACATCAAGTTAATAGCAAGACTTATTTATAGGAAAAATTATTCCATACATGCAATGTATGGAAGCGTGCATGCGGAAGCCAATTAGAAAATGCCATGTGGAATCCGACCCCACTATTACAAAATATGTAAATTTCTTTTTTTAAACTCTTGCTGCCCGACCCGACCCTCCTTTTTTCGAAAAATGAAAAGCATAAAGGTCCTTTCCCGAGTTTTCTCCCCACTTTATTTTCCCACTTTAGGGTTTGGAGCTGCCAAAATGGATTGCTCTCTCGACGAAGACAATGACAATGACTTTCAGATCCAAGTGAGTTTAGCTTCGCTCATAATGTTTTATTTATCTTAAAGACATTGTT